TTGCAGTACAGCCTACCCAATTTTATAAACATTACATACGTACTCCTTTAACACCCGCCATGTTAAGTTAACGTCATTTGTGGTTAGTTGCCATGCGCAGAAATCGATTTATGTAGCAGTGTCCAGGCCCAGCATCCTCGTAAGCATCAGCGCTTCATATCAGCTTGTGGTGCCGCTAATACGCATGTTGGAGTTGTCATTGTCGCGCAAGTGTAAACAACTGGTTATATAAATATCTGCAACTCTTTAACACATCTCTGTGCGTCCAACATTTGTACATATATTTAGCATCATTCTGCGACATGTAGCTCAATAAAAAAAATTGCAACATGGTCCCCTTCCCTTCTGCCTTCCCTATGCATCAACTCTCTAAGCATGCTTCGCATAACGTAGATACAATGCTACGTGGGATCTGCCGAATATTTTTTCTCGTCTCTTCTTCTCTTGGTTACGCCTGACGCAGGAGAAGGTTAAACTGAGAGGAGCTTCGCCCCCCAAAACAACTGCTCGCACTGCACAACCGCCCGTATATGTAGGCACTGGATCGCGTGTTTGTAATTCAGTCAAGCGCATTCTTACTTGGCTTTTACTTGACATTGAAAGTAGCGCTTCTCCTTCATTAAATAAGTAAGAATAATAGAGACCAAATAGCAATTAATTATTCCCAAACCATATCCAATTACACAACAAGCATGCGATACCCCCACCACTCTGCAACGCATTTACTCAAGTAAATGCGTTGTCACGGGTTTTGTCACGTGGTATTTTTTGTATTTCTCGGGCATTTGCAATTAGCAGAAAAACACTAATACCTAACAGATATAAAGTTAAAAACTGTCTAATCGGGAATTTTACAAACCGATCTACAACTTTCTCATTGAAATTTTTATTTATCTTTGTTTCTTGAAAAGTTAGTCAATTAAACATATTTAATTAAACAATATTTGAGAATACAAAATATAGTCTAGCTTCAGGCAACGGTAAGTAACATGCATTTGGTCGCGTCGTAATTATGTGTTCCGGCATATTTTTAAACTCTGGCTAAAGTTACTTGGGACATCCTGTATAAAAATCACAGCACATTCACAAAGTGAATGATGATGAGTGGGGTGAAGCATACGTTCATCTGTGCGTCCGTCTGTTCGTGCATGCGTCCATCCATGCATACCCTGTGCGAACGTCCGTCCATCCGTCCGCCCAAAATGCTGGTGAACAGTTGTACAAATAAATCTGTGAATACACTTCCTATGAAAAGAAATTGACTTTAGTTGATATAATGTCTCCACAGTGAGCTTGCCAGTCACCGGTCGTGCCTTGCCCGTTCGGCCACCAGGCATCACTGCCCAGGTCTGGAGCACCAGGCGGCAACCATCGGCAACAGGCTGTTCGACCGGCTTGAAGTCACCTTCTGCTCAGGTTACGGACGACGCAAGCTGCGGTTCGTCACAGTTCTTGCCATCGCGTTAGTCTGGATGGCTCAACGATTCGTATAGATTGACGATAGGCCTCCTAGCCATTGATTGCTGCTCCTTGTGGAATAGAAAAAAAATTTCACGACGAGCAGAGGTAACGATTTTGTTTGATTTACGTGATAAGATGTCGTATTCATTGTGCTTGTACAAAGAATTACAATGACTTGAAATTACTTTTGAAACTGTAGTTATGCCTCAACTGTATTGTGAACGACAGCATAGAAATTTTAAAATATTAACAAGCATTTTATGATGACACTGGCCAGACAAAAGGATGATATACAAGTGTTATATGCTCTGTATTGTACGAATAATCTTTAAGCAATATACTGCTTCTAATCTACTATGTATGTAACTTGTATAAGTTACCCAAATTATATTGTTTGCTTATGTATATTATTTGCTCGTTATCAGTGTACACAAATATATATAAACTGTGCATTTGCAGTCTAGAATTACTGTATGTTGATCTTCTCTTCTTTTCATTTTAAGTGGATCCACCCCAATAAAAACCCCATTTGGGAACGACAGTATAGAAACAAAATAAATAAGTAGTACTACATTAAAGTGAAAGAAGTGATAGAAATTATCTCCAATATATAACACAGTAAATAGGGTACACTTAATAGGGTTTTATCAAATAAATAACTTTAATAGGCACAGTAATTAACAAATATAACCAACAACCTGCTCGGTGTGACTTATTACGAAAATAAAGCTTTTTGTCATTTCCATCATTGCCTTGTCAAAATATTCTCTGTATTTTATTGTGTTTGAAATTCATTCACAACGCCAGCTTCAATGCATTATCTGTAGGCTTGTGTGAATATTTGAATACTTTCAATATTGGAATAAATATTATGGTATTCAAAATTACTTCGATTCGGATTCAGATTGTTGAAAATTTCAGAGTATTCGGAATGAACGAATAGATGCATATTATTCCGCATGTAACCCTCTGCAAACATGGTTTCACTGCAGTAGAGTGGTGCAGAGCTGTGAAAGTATTCATCAAAATGTGCAAAAAAATTCGCATGCAACTCTTGTAAAGGTAGTTTCATCAGATTGAAGAGGTGCTTATGAACATATTACGCTAGCGTCGATTCGCCGTTTTTTTTTAGTTCAAGAGCTTGTTATACGAGCTTTTATGCTTAACTTTAAAAACATACCCGCAGGCAGAAGTAGCTTGTGAGCACGCAATCAGTCCACCCGACTGACGCCACAACACCGGCCTAGATTTAAAACAACTTATTTTGCAGGTTATCCCTTGCACTTTACAGAAAGTCAAATTTTGCTACTATTTAATGTTATGTTTCCAAAGTAGCTTGTGAGCACGCAATCAGTCCACCCGACTGACGCCACAACACCGGCCTAATTTTAAAACAACATATTTTACAGGTTATCCCTTGCACTCTACCGAGAGTCAAATTCTGCTACTATTTGAAGTTATGTTTTTATTTTTAAACAAAAAGAACAAGTTATGGAAGTGCCTTTTTACTTTCTGGAAGACACTTTGCAGCAGGACAAGTGCTGCTTTGGAGCAGCCGTAGGTGTTTTAAAGCAGAAAAAATGCTGGTATAGAAGCTACTGGTGCTTTAGGAGCAGATATAAAATTTTCCACACATTAGTTGGAGTTCAGAGCACTGTTGAAGCATATCGTAAATATTGATATTTCTTATAGAAAGTATTTAACAGACAACAATCAACGTGAACGTTGTGCAGCAAACAATGACAGGTTATCAAAAAGGTGCTGTGAAAGGAACTACAATTTAATATACTAGTATTTGTGGCAGAAATTGAATGAACCTGGAAAAGCTGAGCACCACATTTTAGAATCACAGTCCTATATAAGTATTACCAAAGAAGCAGTAGATAATTGGTATGAGATAAAAGCAATCCTGCTCATTTTCATATTTCAACATGTTTAGCTTAGAAAAAAATAGCCAAGTGAGCTGTATGCTTAATAAGCCAATTCTTGTCGCACATATGAGATCAGAGCTGATAATACAGCACACTATTTGCTAAGTGAGATGATAGTACACAGATTATTTTAGTTTTTTAGGACTTTTCAGTTAGTCAGACAGTAAAAGTTCGATATTCTCATTCGCTCAGTGTCATGTCATAGCAGGCTTGGAGCATTACTAACATATATCGCTGTTCGGAGCAGCATGGAGCAGCAATTATCTTATAGAGCAGTATGGAGCACTTGGAGCAGCACTTCAATCCCTGAGAATCGCACTTGCACAGACCTTGTATTAATATTTAAAATGAAATGTGCAGGTTAGTTGGGTCATGACAAATCTGCTCCTTCTCCTTCATAATATTTGATGTATACTATTCAAACTTGATTTGGCATTACCCGACCAAAATTACTATTTGCTTCGAACCCGAATTTCACTATTCACACAAGCCTAATCACCTGTGCTCAAGGTGAGTGTTGGCTACTTGTACTTCTACACTGAAACCTCGATATAACGAGCCCAGGTGTAAAACCAAATATTGGTTTTAATGAAGTAAATGAAAAATATTCTTACTCTAAATATAGTGCTAGGAATAAACCTCTACAACAAATTTTTGGATGTAACAAACTTATTTTAGTGTAAGATGCGACTTTGTTATAATGAGGCTAGAGAGAATGTGGAATGAGAAGCGCAGCTTTAGACTACCTTTCAAACATTTATCTGACATCAAGGGTAATGTGCGTCTCAACAGTGAACATTCACAGCCCTTCCACCACGGTGATAAAAGCTAACGAAGCAGTGGTTATGGTTCGTCGAGTAGTATAGTAAAGACTGCTACAGTGAACTTAGTCATTGTCATTGTTGGTCATATTGAGCAAATAAAGACATACAATCCGACTGTTTCTGTTTTGCATGATGCAATTTGTCTAGTCTACAGCAATTTCAAAATGAAATCCTGTAGCATATGGGAAACTCATTTGTTTCAAAAGTACCACAACGGCGTGACACTCAGTCTTTGAGGATCACTCACAGCACGTTACTGTCAGTCGTGGCTCAACGACTTCAGTCCTGATTTGACTTCACCTAATGCGACAAAAGGGGTGTTCAGAATAGAAATTCACTTTTTAACCTATTGTGCACAACACAATTCGGCTGAGGAACATTTATGAGTTCATATAGCCTGGTATATATCATCGAGATAGTAATGACTGTATTAGATAAACATACGAAGGTAGATTTTAAGTGCTTCAATTACACGCTGTTGAACAGAAGTGAGTGAAATTCGCAAAGATTTCATGGGAGCAATACATGTTTCCATGCAGAGCTTATCTGCCAGAATGCTCAGATGAGTTACTGCAACAAGCAACAAGTTTTATCGGTGAACTCTTCATTGCTTAAATGAATTACAGATAGAACGTTTGGGATGGAATGACCCGTATTTATACTGCAATAGATAAAGTAAAAAGATGAAATGTGGTGATGTCATCTCAAAAATACAAGTTGCACACCACAAGGGCACTTGCGAACGTACGTGAATAAGTGAGTTATAGATTACACCTCATAGAACACTGTGCGAGGTACACTGACTGCCATTTATTGTCTACCAATGTTCAGTTTGTGCGAAGCTGGTAGTCTCCATTTTGCGTGATGTAGCGGACCCAGGGCAGCGCCTGGTAGCCACTCTTCTCAATAATCTTCAGGTAGCGGACCTGCATGAAAGACGAGAAGTGGTCATGTTCCTGCATTTTATCCAGTCTGAGGCGTAACACATATAGAATGTGGAACATGGGTTTCACCATGCGAAACATTTCCTAGGACGACACATTCAGTGAGTGAAGAGGCAAAACCAGAAGCACAGAACAGGTATTGGACTATATGAGAACTTCCAATTAGAAATTAAACATGAGTCATGGTGAAGCATAGCAATATAATTAAACGACGAGCCATGGTAGAACTCTACAACTATAAACACCTTCATCCTGACCTGTGTCCTTGCAAGTACAGTGGAACCCCGATTATACAACTTTTAGGGGGGCCACACAAAACCGTCGTATAACCCAGGTGTCGTATAATCGAAAAACTGAGATTATAGACCGCGACGCTCAGCCTTGCCCGAAAAATGGGTACAGGCTGCTTGACTACCCACGGCACGACCTTCTACCTTTGTAATGAGGGTAGATTCAATTAGAGTTCCCCGTGGTAGCTAATGGCAGCAATAATTAGTTGAAGGAGGTCTGAGCAAATATTTATTCTCAGCATTAAAAACAAACCCAACGGGCTTCTTTCTGCCGACAAACAGAGCCCGAAAATTGCCTGCGTGTGAAAATGAAAGCAAAACCGTGCTGCCGTGATCCTGCCATCAGAAGAGCCAGACACAGTGCTATCGCTATGGCATAATGGGGACGGACAATGAGTTTATGTATGATGTGTCCGTGCATGACTGAGCTGTGCATGTTGTAATTTGTTTCCTCGTGAAGTGCAACTAGTGGTGTCCCGCTGTTGTTATGAACATTGACGTCAAGTGAACATAATTTTGCATGCCAAACGCAGCTGCGTCGTCTCCTTATGCGTGCGCAAACCAGCAACTGCAAGTGTGACAGAGGCAGGAGATCAGCCGTATGTCGACCTGGAAATGTTTACACAGACCGAAAATGTGAAAATGTCAGCTTTTTGGTCAGCTGAACCTACTCTATCTGGATGGAGCTTGACTAAGTAAGGAGCCCGGATACATATGCACGCGATTCAGGCATATGTAGACGTGCATGAACTTCCGGGAGAATAAATTTTTCATTCGATGAAGATGACTCTACTTTTCCTGTAGTCCTCCTTGGGGTACACAAGCTTATATTTTGTAATCGTGAATATTTGGTCGACATGTGATTCCAGTAAAAGTGGTATTTTCTTTCTGTTGGAATCTGAAAGTTTTAAGATGCGGAGTCGCCGTAAAAATGCATCGTATAACCAAGCTTTTTAATACATTGTTTCTATGGGATTTTGCCGGGACCAAAAACCAATTCATCGTAAAATGCGGGTCATCGCGAAACCTCAGGAGGTATAATCGAAGTTCCACTGTAGTGTTTTTTCACTGTGTAGGTTCACCGATGAAAAATTGAAAGTTGAAAATTTTAATCACACCTAGCATTTATAAATAACAATAAAAGCACCAATGAAATAAAAGGTACCTTGCATACACAAAACACACTTACTTCTAGGTACTTCACCTCTTAATGGTCATTTGAGGACACATTCAAACCTCCGTATAATGTTTCGAAATATGATAATCTACTGGTTATAATGACCACATTCTAGTGCATTTCCTATGCAGTGAATAAGAAAAATTCAGCAGCAAGCATGAAGCTTCGTGGCTGGCTTTCACATGGCAACATATTCTGATGCCTCGGAAGTCGAAGTCGAAACGACCCGCAGCTGTGGAGGAGGTGAAATCAGCGAGGTCAGAACATCTAGGATTGCCTCATTGCATTGCCAAGGCAAAATTCTACCAAAGCTAGCTAAATGTGCATCGATTAAAGCATACCACAGCCTAACAACACATCTATAACAATTTTACAGTTCCTAAAGCATTGCTTGGAGCAACTACTAAAGCACAGCCGTTAGATCTGCGCTTAAAATTCAGAAGGCAACTGGCTATTCATAAATAAGAGGGTTCACTCATTGCGAAGGTCAAGTGACTACTGAAAGAATCTCTCCATACATGTTCCTTTTTTCAAGACAGTTGTATTCTGTTTCATATTTTTAAAGGCCACATGAATGAGTCTGAGTGGCCCGAGTTGTGTTTGTATCAATTAACTTTATTTTTATTGTGATAGCAAAATAGCAAATATACGGACACGATCAACTGATTTTTTACATCGCCGTCATGTCCCGCATATGTTTAAGTGTACACACGCACACGCACGCACACGCACGCACACACACGCGTACACACACACACACACACACACACACACAGAGAAGGGACAAAGAAAAATAAAGCAGAAGAAAAATTTCATGCACCCACTGGAGATTTGAACCAGCAACTTGTCGCTTTCGCTCTGCAGCACACTACATCTAGGCCACGCCGCTCATGCTGTCCTTCTCACTAACGGCGACCTATATTTATACACCATTTGCCCCTGGCTTACTGTCTATGGGATTAAAGAAGCAATGTTGAACGAAGCATGCACTTTGTTTGGACAAGCCATACATGCTTTCCCTAAACATTTACGTGTCCGATGGCTTAATCAGTGGAGGGATGGGTTAACTGAAGCACACACAGTTGGATGAAAGGGGCATCCCAAAGTATCTCTGGCTCCATTTTCACTCTGAAGCAACAGAAAAAATTATTTACATCAAGTTCAAGACGATTCGGGAACTTGCTGGTCCTATCGTGCCTGTGAATTCGATTCCCATCCAAATGTGCAATGCCACTATAATAAAAACCATAGAAAATAAAACAGAAATAAAACAGAAATAAAACAGAAATAATGTAATAAAAACCATAGAAAGAGAAAGGAAGGAACAAAAGAGAAATTCTGAGATAACCAGATAGCTGCGTTTCCGTCATCAAACTACTGGAAACTATGACTTGAAGCACTCTTCGTTGTACACAACAGTACTTGTTCTTGTTCACCTATTGTCCGCGGCGCATACCACTATGGGGGATTGGTCAGGAATTGAGTGGTGTTAAAAATTATTGTTCAGATTTAGAATAATGGAGATACTTTAATACAAAGATTACTGATGACCTAGAAATTTGCGGTGCAGTATTAAACAATGCCATTCTTCGTCATTCTTCAAGATGCGTGGCATCCGCAACACACTTTCAAAGAGTTTCGTGCAATTTTTGATGCTGTGATTTCTTTGTTTCTTTTTGTTCATTTTTTTTCTCATTCCACATAATAGCGGTTATGAATACCGGTTGTGGGGGCGGGCAGCTAAGGCACCAAAAAACAGCTGTGGTGATCTCGGAACAGCTTCCGCTGTAAAACCCTCGGACAGGTAGTGTAGCTGGGGCAGACATATCGACAAGTTGTCTTCTCTCCTGCATTTGCTGCCTTGAGGAAGGCAAGATGCCTTATTAAAACTGGTTCCAGTGACAGCGCCTGTATAAGAATTTGTCCTCTCAGCATAAAATGCCATGCCTGCGTGGAAGGTACAGCACAGTCACAGCAAAAGCTAGAAGAGCAACCTTTAAAAGTCTTTTCGAAACACTCATAGGGTAGTTACTGCAAGCACACTTGCTTGGTACCCACTAGGGCATTATCAATAAATTTATTTGGGTAGTAGACTGTGATTCACTATGCTATTTTTCGTCATTCTTCTGAGGAGCGTGGTATCCGCTATACACTTGCAAGGAAATTTTGTGCCAATTGTTCATGCAGTCGGCTGATGAGGATGAGGAATTATGCCTAAAGTAGGTATGTGCCACAGTTAATAGGTGATCAAAAACAAACTTTTGCAAAGGGTTGGAGCATTGATCGACCGCCTCATTATTCTATTCGCATTGTGCGACGACTGGTTGTTCTTTCGCTGTTTTAAAACACTTTGTAAGTCGTATTAACGCAATTTCTCTCCCGACATCAAGCCTGCCTAAGGCAAGTTTAGTGGTAGAATATGTGCTTAAGTGGTAGAATACCTAAGGCAAGCTCAGTGGTAATATATGTGGGGGTGCTGACACACCCTGTAAAGTTGTTTGCCCTGCGTGGCGCACGTGTCTCGCCCTAAAGCCGCATTTCAGGTTACAACTGCCTGGCAATACGTGGCGTTTTGTACGCGAGCAGTGAGCACCACAATCATCATCATGGTTGGTAGAGTGGTAGCGCCGGCAGTGACACCTGGCGGAAGGCAAGCCTTGGTGGCGAGTGAGAGTTGAGCCAGTCAATTCTGCGTGTGGCGGTTGCCGCGAAAGGTCGTCTATAGCGTGGGTCCCCGGTGCTCGCCACCGTGGGCTGCGCGCGCTGGGGGCCCTCGTGGTAAGTCAAGCGTTGGCAACGCCGCCTCAGGTGTGTTATTGTGTTTGTCACGTTATTGTGTGTTTGTCATTTTATTGTGTCTGTGATGAAGTGTATGGTAATATGGTGTAGGATGTCCTAGCGTGTTGATAACGATTGATGTATCGATTTGACGGACAATATCGTCGTCTAAATTAGTTAAATAAATGTGTGTGGTTTGGTTTGAACCGACCGTGTCTACTGTGTTCGTTCACTCCAAGAGCATGGCATTGCGCTGGCCAATTCGAGACCCCACAAATACTGGGCTGGCACCCAGCAGACCTGGGTTCGGGCCCCACTGTGTCATTGGTGCTAGGTCAAGCCAGCCTAAGGCAAGTTTGACAACAATTTACAAGCACCGGTGTAAAGGCCATTTCACATGACACAAAAAGTAGCGATTTTCAGTGCGGGAATTCGCTCGCAGCGAAAAACAAAAGGCAGTTCGCCCATGCCGCAGCGAGCTCTCAACATGTTGAAAATTTTCGCTCTGGTCGCAACGGCGGGAGCGATTTTCAGTCGGGACCCCTCGAAATAGGGCCGGCCGGCTAAGCCGTCGAAATAGCGTCGACATGTTTGTTTTAGTAATGGCCAATGCTGTGCATTTGAAAATTAATTTAGAATAAAAAGTGTTCTTAAACATCAAACACACGGGCCCTTCGTTACTATTTACAGAAACTAAATGATATAATAATGCACGTGTAATGCACAAATCATTACATAACGTTCGAAAAATTCTGCGGTGTCTGCCAGAAAGAAAGGTGGCAAGAACTCGCCGCTCCAGTCGCAGAGCAAAAATCACGGACTGTTCGCAGTCTATGTGAAACGAAACCGCCATTAGCAGCGGCTGCAAACAGAGCGAATGGAGCGAACAGAACGATTTTTTTTTTTTGCTGCAATCGCGGCATGTGAAACAGCCTTAACGAAGTGGTAGAATAATGGGTTGGCACCCAGCGGACCCGGGTTTAGGCCCCACTGTGTCATTGATGCAAATTTTTTTTCTAATTTCACGCGATGTAGTTACGGACACCGGCGGCGGCAGTGGCGGACAACTGCGCGTGACCCAAGTTGTGATCTCATAACAGCTTTCGCTGTACAAATTGACGAAAACGGTGCATGCTGACCTGTATACCGGAAGTTGTAAAGTAGGGTATCTCGAACTTGACTTGGATTGGCGCTCGTCCTTCCGTCTCTTCGCTCTCAACGCTGGGCAGGCCAAAATGCGCCCGCATGAGGTACTCCTTGCCACCCTGCGCAAAAGCAGCGAGGCCATCTGCTTAGTGGTGCTGTCATCCCTTCGAGTAGATTTTCAGCTGCAGTGATCAACTTATCCTATTTACTCACAAAAATGAAAGCACTTTTTTCCCCGAAATTTCGGAGCAAAGTTGCGGTGCCTTTATTATGTGGGGCAAATTATACTAAAACTTTTTCAGGATTAAAAAAATAAAATGCGGTAATGAGAAAGAAAAAAATGTTAGGTCGCTTAGCTTTTAGCAATTGACAAACGTGTACTCTGTTTGGAAACAGCTTCTTTGTTGCACATCATTCATCTTCGATGGTTGATGGATGCTATCTACTCCAAGCTATCCCCGTGCCGCCGGCGCACTAAATAAAACCGTTTTTTCTCACAATCAATTAACTGTAACAGTGGCATCTAGTGTTATCTGGAGGGCGCCCAGAAGCATGCACTACGACGCACTTTGCCAACTTCGTGGCAACATCGCACGACAACCACACCACTGCCGTTGACATTGCACCAAGCTACCACCGAAGCATCCAAAATAAGCCGTTTATGACAAGATTAATGACAATATACGGCTGCCGTCTAGCTGTCCATATGAGAAGTTACTGTAGAAAAGGTAGCTTATATCTTGCATTCCTTGAAGTATGCACGCATAACAGGTATGAAGAGCAAATTGCAACCAAGGCGAGAATCGGGTGGGAGCGGGGGGAGAGGGTGTGCTACTATGTTGCGAAATCATCGCGATCTTTTTAGGCCGACAAGCAATTTTTTCTGGTTTTCCAGAAACCTTAGAGGCGATGGCGGCGAATGGTCCTTCGAAACAGTCATGGCGACCTCGAATCCTGCCATCATCGCTCGAAAATCACAAGCATGTGGGTGGGCCTTACAGTGCCGTATTTGTAGAAAGTGACCGTAGGTTAGCGCGGACAGTTTCGTGACCTTCGCTTGCTGTGTGCTTATCCCCTGCGATGTCTTTACACTCGCACCCGCTGTGGCAGACGCTTTGGTGAACCCCGCTTTGGCACACGGATAATAAAAAAAGGCAGGGGACGAGCCGCACGCAGACAGTTTCGTGACCTTCGCTTGCTGTGTGCTTTCCCCTGCGATGTCTTTACACTCACACCCTCTTTGGCACACGCTTTGGTGAACCCAGCTTTAGCACATGCATAATAAAAAAAGGCAGGGGACAAGCTGCGTGCAGATAGAAAGAACAATACAGCGCACAGCAGGGGGCAAAGAAAGGGAGAAAACGAGCCATGGGGGCCAAATGGAGTCGGCATAATTATAAAAAAATCAAAAAAGGTCCAATAGGCAAAGAGGTGCCAGAAGTCAATTAGCGGGACTGCAGCGGACGAATGTAGAGGGTGCGTTAATTATGTGGGAGAAAAAAAATACAGATTTTGGCTGTAACTGGGAGTTGGCGTTTATTACGGGAGTGCGTTCATTCAGTGATATTCATAAACTTTGCTCCGCCCTGCCTTCGTTTGTATAACTTATTCGCTAATCTATTCCAGGAAAAGTGGTAATGATAAAGTTAGAAAATAACATTGCTATGGGCTAAATTATTTTATGATTATTTTTTAGGTGAGTGCATTTTCACAGCCCACTCTTGAATGCAGTCGAGTAAACATCTTCTCATAAATTTTGTCAGTGCACTATGCTGTTTTTCCAACGGTCAGTGTTAACCTGAAACATTAGTGTTTGACCAACCAAGACACTATAAAGCAAAGGGCAGGTTCATAATATTTCAAAAATAATCCACACAAAACATACAAAGTATTCAAAGCTGTGAATTATACACAAGTCTTGCCCTGCAAGTTGGCCTCCTAGCACTATCTCTCGGGAAATGCAAGAAACAATCTTATGGCAATACACGGAGATATTTATTTAAATTTTTTTTCCTATGTGGGGAGGTGTGAATTAAGGGTGGGGGCGGGTTATACAAGCAAAAATACAACATATAAACATACTCAAGTATGTTTGCGTTTTTTCTATAGATATGCATCATTACTTAACGTTGTTGCCATTTTTACTGCCATTTTTATTTTATGTTTGCATTGTTTCCACAACTAAGAATAATTACTTAACAGTGACTTATTGACATTTTTGCAGTCATTTTTACTATACATCTGCATTGTTTTTGTAACAATGAATGATTATTAAATGCTGCTTTGTTGCCATTTTTTGAACTGCACATATAGTTTTCTGACACGAGGCCCCTTTTTGCATTGTGCTATGAGACCTTCTCCTGTATACTCTGGTATCAATTAGTTAAACCTATGGCACGAAAAAAATTTTTTTCATTGAGTGATTAAAAAATGGGTGCATACGGGAAAGGACTTGATGCTCCAGACGACAGCATTCTGCTCGGGTGCATATTTTACATTGCCGACGGTTGTCTTGAACTTGGGCGTGTCTGCGTCGTGCGGCACCGGGATCACGATCTCCACGTTGTTGGCAGTGGACCGGCGCTTGAACTGACTCTTGGCCTGCACAGCCATCGCAAGCACAGTTGTCAGCGACAGCTGCCGCAAACAGCGCAAAAATACACACTTCATTGTGAAGCAAGAACAAATTCAGGCAGAACTAAATCAGGTTGCTGTCTATGTGTACTCTGTATAGGGGAGAGTAGCTATCGCTGAATTCAGATTCAATTAGGACAATCTTGCTGCAGTGATGGATACATGAGCTTGGGAACTGTCCCGGGAGCATAAAAAGTGCCTTTTATAGCAGGTTTGGAGCATCCAAAAAGACATTTCTAAACAGCCTTGGAGCAAGTTTTCGAGTAAGTTTACAGCAGTCACAAAGAGCGCTCAATGTACATGTAGCACCACTTTGCCGCCCTTGTGAAGAGATGTTTGTCCAATGCTAGTTTTTGCAGGTATTAAGCTGATTTGTTCAATACCCTTATTCAGCTACGCAACCACATTTGTTCAGTGATTTCTGTTCCTTTTTATAGTTATATGGCTGCATTCGTGCGATGCCTGGCAAAATAATGCTTTATTAGATGCGAAGCGGCTCTTTTACTACACTGCGTAACGCTGTCCCTTCAAATGAATGCGCCGTATGCCGCATGTGTTGGCACGGTGCCAAGTAGGTCACGCCACTGCTGTGTGTTAATGTTATGCTCTCCTTGCAATGCGCCGACGTCACTTTATCTCTCGCCTGCCGCACGCTCGCCGCGGCACCTGCAGCTGCCGCCTCCTTTGTTCGTTCGCTACACTGCCGACTCATCAGTTTACACACAATAAACCTGACGCGCGTTTAATGTACACATTGAAACATGTCTGTATGTGTCACCTACTAGACCTACGCCAGCCATCGCTTCAAACGAATCTTGCAGCACTCACCGCAGCACCCGCGTTAGCACCGTTGAACCTGTGATGCCACCCGTGAGCAACGCTGCTGCTTTGCATCCCATCCGGGTTTGCTTCAAAGAGATGGTCTGATGTTTCTTATTTTCAATTTTAGGCGATTTACCTACAACAAACTAGGAACGAAGTTCTTGTGCTATATTCTGACCTTTGGAATAAGTAGAGTTTCTGTACCATCAGCTCTAGCGGGTACATTAGCGGTGTCGCCATTCATATGCCAAACTTGAACCAATTTGTTGTGTGACAGAATAACAGGCCCCTCGAAATGGCGATAATTAGGCAATCTAATGGTGGCATTCAGCAGAACACGGCAGGCGCTTAGTTGATTTTCTTTATCATATGCCAGTTTCAGTACGTGTTAAGCTAGACATAGTTTTGTGTTTGCTAGTCACGGGGTCGGCGAGCATCGAAATAAAGGCACCCAATTATGCAGCACTAATGCAGACAATGTATGCAGTGTGTATTGAAAGGTATGACTAGTTAAGCCTACCTTCTCATAAGCAACGATTAATTGAAAGATCCCAAGTGAAAATGCAAAATTACAATTCAAAAGCAAAATCAATAAACAAGCACGTGAAATGTTCAAAATGCTTTGTTCAATACACGTACCTATGAGAGGTTGACTTCACATGCTATCCTCCACAGCTGATCGCAAAATTGATTAAAGCAAAACCATAGCTGTTTCAATGAAAGCAAGAACAGGATATTTCAGGACATGTTCTTCGGTATAGGACTTGATGGCTGTCAAACCTTGCAGCTTAATTCGGGTACAGGGGTGCATTATGGCGCTGATAAATGAGTTTGGTGCAACAAGGTGGTTCTTAGCAGGGCAGCGCAGGTAAACAAGTTTTGCACACAATAGTGCAAGTGGCACATCAGTTCTACCCCTGTTGCCGTTGTAACAACAAAGTGCCAACATTAGGCAACGTTTACCAATATTCAATAGTCGAGATACAAACATTAACCAACACTAGACAATTATAGTGAAATTTTACTAGCAATAGCTACAGCAAGTAGTAAATGGGTGAATATTGTAGGTGAATACACCACTGCTCGCTGTTCCCTGCTCATCATTCGCAAATCGTGGATGGTACGCAAAGATCTGCTCTCACATGCTTATCGAAATGCTCTGTGCATGCATTTCAATAATTTCACATGTCTGTACATAGTTGCATAAATTCTAGAGAATTTATAGCAATCTGCACATACATTGTCTAAACTATATGGACATGATACAGACCTGATGGTATGGCATATGGAACATTTCAATAGAGATCTTAAAGTTGTGAGCTTTGTAGAGTGCTACTTAATGGATACCACTAGGCTCACAACAATTACGAATGATGGCATCTGGTTGGTATGTTATTAATACAAAAATGCAAGGCATCTACACATCTTATAGATTGCTGAGTGTGGCATTGTGTCTAAGGTGCATTTCACAAGAGTGTGTTCGATTCGCCCCAATTCACACCACTCACACAAAACAGCAAAACAAGCACATTCCTGCAACTGGTGACTGTGCAGTCCATTAAATAATCACCTGCTATGTCATCACGACATGAAACATAGCAAGAAGAATAAAGAAAACTAAGGGTCCTTGTAGAAGCACTGCACAGTAGAATTTTTCAGTGTGGCAGCAGTGCCAAAACACACAGCCTAGCGAATAAAAAAAGGCAATGTTAGGACGGGTCCATACAAAATGAGCGGGCGTACTACGGTCGCACCAGAGGGGGTTAGAGTGTGCTGCTGTTTTCTGCGTGCCCTTAACAACCAGTCTCGGCTACCTCGAGACAGGCCAGAATGAGCAACGCAGCTCCCTCTGGTCAGTGGACAGTGCCTGTGGCTGCAACCGCAGTGAGCCAATAGAGTTCGTAACAACAGTACTGAAAGTTGGGCGAGTTGGCACTCATTCATGACTTCTTTGCGCAAACACGTACACGGACACAAGGATAAGAGGCAAACAACACGGGCGCAAACTCACAACTGGTTTATTTTGAACAACGAACTGTACTTATATCTTCACGTAGCCCACACGCCCCCCCCATCGGTGGATCCAGGAACAAACGAGATAACCTAAAGAAAGCTTATTCAGCGCTACGTCATGATAAGAACCACAACCGACAAACATTGAAGAGTTCACGCATCTGCAGACGGATTGTTGCACGTGCCTTTCAAAAAATCAAATTCTTTATCGGACAAGGTGACGGAAGCTTGGCTAACACATTTTTCTCCCATGTTTCTAATATGAAATGCTTCAATCAACTCCCTGTTAATTTTTCTCTTGTGAGTTGACAGAATCTTTGTGTCTGTAAAAATTGGTACGCACCCACACGACTTGCAGTGATCCACCAGATGTGTTCGTCCTGAACTACGTAATGCGGAGTCATGCTCCCTCAACCGTGTGTTTACACACCTTCCAGTTTGCCCGACATAAGATCTGCCACAGCTGAACGGAACCTGGTATACCACTGCTGTGCTGCAAGACCGGTATTGTTGGCTGTGTTTCATCTGGCAGCTGTTCTTACTTTGCGTAGTGCCGGACTCCACCATGTTCCGAAGTCGTGGACACAACTTAGACAGCTTGTTGGGTGCTGTGAAAACCGAGGTTACTCCGTATCTCGCTGCTACGTTTTTCAAGCCATGGGACAACCTATGAACATATGGGAGAACTGCAAGCTTTCTTTTTTCACTTTGTACTCTTCTGGGACTTCTTTCCGTACCTTTTATCACTGGGATGAGTTTTTTGCAAATAGTGTTCAGCAAAGGGCTGGGATACCCAGCTGCCCTGAGCCTGCTTAGCTGGTCCTGAAAGCTGGAAGCAATCTCGTGCACACATGACCGAAGCAACGAAGATCTAAAGCATGAGGATGCTATCGCATTATTTATTACTTTTGAGTCACTAGATGCAAAATTTAGCAGTGGTTTTTTGGCTCGTGGACTATACTACCAACACACGTGATCTGCCTTGAAGAGCAACTTTGCATCTAGTCACTCAAAAGTAATAAAAAATGCGATAGCATCCTCATGCTTTAGATCTTCGTTGCTTCAGTCATGTGTGCACGAGATTGCTTCCAGCTTTCAGGACCAGCTAAGCAGGCTCAGGGCAGCTGGGTATTCCAGCTATTTGCTGAACACTATTTGCAAAAAACTCATCCCAGTGATAAAAGGTACGGAAAGAAGTCCCAGAAGAGTACAAAGTGAAAAAAGAAAGCTTGCAGTTCTCCCATATGTTCATAGGTTGTCCCATGGCTTGAAAAACGTAGCAGCGAGATACGGAGTAACCTCGGTTTTTACAGCACCCAACAAGCTGTCTAAGTTGTGTCCACGACTTCGGAACATGGTGGAGTCCGGCACTACGCAAAGTAAGAACAGCTGCCAGATGAAACACAGCCAACAATACCGGTCTTGCAGAACAGCAGTGGTATACCAGGTTCCGTTCAGCTGTAGCAGATCTTATGTCGGGCAAACTGGAAGGTGTGTAAACACACGGTTGAGGGAGCATGACTCCGCATTACGTAGTTCAGGACGAACACATCTGGTGGATCACTGCAAGTCGTGTGGGTGCGTACCAATTTTTACAGACACAAAGATTCTGTCAACTCACAAGAGAAAAATTAACAGGGAGTTGATTGAAGCATTCCATATTAGAAACATGGGAGAAAAATGTGTTAGCCAAGCTTCCGTCACCTTGTCCGATAAAGAATTTGATTTTTTGAAAGGCACGTGCAACAATCCGTCTGCAGATGCGTGAACTCTTCAATGTTTGTCGGTTGTGGTTCTTATCATGACGTAGCGCTGAATAAGCTTTCTTTAGGTTATCTCGTTTGTTCCTGGATCCACCGATGGGGGGGGGGGGCGTGTGGGCTACGTGAAGATATAAGTACAGTTCGTTGTTCAAAATAAACCAGTTGTGAGTTTGCGCCCGTGTTGTTTGCCTCTTATCCTTGTGTCCGTGTACGTGTTTGCGCAAAGAAGTCATGAGCCAATAGAAAATACGGTCAGGAAAAACTTAAACCTTATCTTCTGCATGAGCAAAAAATATCAGAAGGCGAAAGAAATGCCGTACCAACCTTGACCATGTACTCCACTCTGCTATGGGCATGGCGTTCGATGACAGACTCGATCCAGATGAGGGGTTTCACCTGCGCGTTGATACGGAAGAACAAGGAAGGCAGGCTTGGCATCTGGCAAACTGATATCGTGCGAAGAAATGACAAACGCAAGCAATGAATCGCTTTGGAGGATATAATTCAGCACTATTAGATTACGCACCTTGTTTCTTGATTTGTTTTTTTTTGCACACGCACAATTTCATATCAGAGAAGCTGACACTGTACAATTCAGTTGCAATTTATATTAAAGCAATTTTTTTTATGAGGGCAACACTGCGCCCCAAGAGACGAACTGCCTAAATATGTGCCACAGCAGCATAGAATCGACAAGCAAAAGTTGGCATTGCTTGTCATTTCTCGCATCCTTTTCCCTTCTGGCTTACCAAGCATGTTCTTTTAAAACGACAAGGAATTAAGCAAAATATTTTAATACCGTGCAGTGAGCCACAAGCCACACTTCAGTGGAGGACTCTTGATTACATATTTGAGCCCAAGAGGGTTTTTGTTTATGTGCAGTTGTGAGGGTTTTTTCACCACGGCATTTCCATAAAACTTATTGGGGATAATTTCAGCGCCACTGGCAATTGCAATATTGGATGTTGTAAGATCGCAGTTCAGCCAACATGGGAATGACGGTGATCGCAAGAAATTTGTCCTAATTTCGTCCACTTGGTTTCAAACAACCCCGTGTATGAGCAGACTCATCTTTTTCAAAAAGATATGGCATTATCTACAAAACAATTTTGAGACAGTGCACATTTGTGAACAGACTAATTAGGTGCCTATCTATGTTTGGGAGCGGAGCTGAATGGAGGCGAAACGCTTGAGGTTCGTGTACCTAGATTCAGGCACACATTGAAGAAAACCAGATGGCCGAAAATTTTAGAGCCCTCTACTACGGTATCCCTCATAATCTCATCATTATTTTGGGATATAAAACACCATCAATCATTATTACCTTTTTATGTTCAGGTACCCACATATCTATGAAAGCATTAAAAAAGAAAATGTGGTAAAACCCACATGCCTATGGAAGCTTAAAACTGAAAAAGTGCGCTAAAATGTTGAAAAACGGCTGTAGCCGCAAGCATGATTGGACAAATTAATAAGGTAACCATAATTCCTACAGCCACCTGAATGACCGCGGCACCAGATGTCTCTGTAGTAACTTATGCAGTAAACTTCGAGGCATAAGCATTCCACTCCAGTAAAAAAAGAATTTGCTATGGCAAGGAATTGAACCACTGACCTGTTCCTCAGCAACCGAAACCAACAGCCACAGAGCTTTTACAATGAGTGAGGTAACACTTGTATACCCTACTAAACAGACAATCTACCAATCTGTATAAACTTGATGATCTATGAACTTGATCTCTATGGCTTGATAATCTATGAAACTTGATCCTTTGATCTCCTGCTGAAGGCCCATTGAAGGAATAGCCAAAATGACTTACATGGGTGTTGAGCCGGTACGACATGAGCTCGAACTCGCCGTCTGGTGGAATGAAGGAGATGGTGCGGTCGTTCTCAAAGCGGGACAGTCGCACACACTGGTGGAACTTGACGTCCTCCAGCTCTACCGACTTGCTTTTGCCCCCTGCGTGCAGGACAGTAATACCGTAATTAGCGGTCTCACCAATTATTAGCCACGTGCAAGTAAGGGTGAGCGCTCATCTGAGTTATCAGCACCAATCGACGATTCTTCTGTTATGATGTGGACAGCATGACGTTCAATGAGTTAGGTGAGTATTGCCGACGTCAGAGAAGATTTGTGGGGCACGCACGATACCCCGACTGTCACCCTGCAAGACTAGTCTTCATCACACCTCTCGCTCTGTTGCTGGGCTGCTCTAAAGATGGATTTGACTGATTACACCAGGAGTGCTTTTTTTCTTTTTTTTTTTTTTTTTTTGAGAGGGACAGCTCAAAGCACCCCCATCGTTTAATTCTTCACTGCCCTCAGGTCCCCCTATTTTAAAAGAGCATTTTCAGCGTCGCTGAAGCTTGAGCGTAGAAAGTCCCAAGCGCTGCCCTTAGATAGGCACTTCGGTACTTAGGTAGGCACTTCGAACTAACGCGAAATCGTTCTGAATAAACAATGCTGGCATTAATTATAAGATGCATTGGAGCACTTATGATTGAATTTTTGCATTAACAGGGGCAAAGCTACAAATTACTAAAAAAAAAATGGCAGATCCCACGTACAGTGAGAATCGATGATATGCGAAGCACAAATGAGGAAAGTTTTGATTGATATGTGGGGTTTAACGTCCCAAAACCACTTCATGATTATGAGAAACGCCGTAGTGAAGGGCTCCGGAAATTTCGACCACCTGGGGTTCTTTAACATGCACCCAAATCTGAGCACACGGGCCTACAACATTTCCGCCTCCATCGGAAATGCAGCCGCCGCAGCCGGGATTCGAACCCGCGCCATGCGGGTCAGCAGCCGAGTGCCTTAGCCACTAGACCACCATGGCGGGGCACAAATGAGGAAAGTTGATATGTCACTTTAATATCAGCACAACGTTACGAAGTGGAGGTAAATTGTGCCGTACATGACTTCCGTGTCATGATTATCATGTTTGGATGTTTATTTACGTCTCGTGATACCAAATTTAGTATATGTCAAGCTACTTCGTCAACCATTGACGTCACGTAACACCAAATTTGGTATATGTGGAGCTAGCGAAACTGCCGCGAGCGCATCATGAGGGGCCCAATATACTCCAACGTAACGTTGACACACACGCATGCTGGGCACAGCGACGCTATGTGAGCAAAACGCAAGCACTCTATAGTCTGACGCCAGACGTGAGCAGCATACGTCGACGTGAACCGACGGCAACAGGCACGAAATGCAACATGCTGCATTTCGCGCCAATGCATTAGCCAGACAGCACTGCGTCTGCCTCTTTTCATGACGAAGGGACGCCAGACGCACTGAAATGCGCATGCATCAAAGCAACACAGTGAGGCGCGCACCTGCGAGTATATGGCAGGACCGGCGCCTGGCGTGGCAACGCCGGCGTGACGCGACAAAACGAACCCCGGAGCGCACGTGCGCTGAGTCACAATGAAATGTATTGGCGCCTTGACTGTGGCATGTAGTCATGTTCTTACATGACATGCATCTCATGATTATCATGCTTGCACCAGTTACATATCTTCGTCATCCACTGACGTCACTAGTACCAAATTTGGCATATGTGAAGCTAGCAAAACAGCCCCTAGCCCATAATGAGTGTGGCGTGTAGTCATGTTGTTACATGACACGCATGTAATGAATATCATGTTTCGATGTGTCATTAACCTATGTCGTCCGTTCGCATCATGTAATACCGAATTTGGCACATGTGAAGTTATGGAAATGGCCGCAAGCGCATCATGATTGAGGCATCTAGTCATGTTACATGACACGCATGTCATGATTTTTATTTTAGGGTTTGTCGCTTGTGTTCACCGTGCTATCATGTCATACCATACCAGTTTTGCAACATTTCATGAGAACAAAACCAGTGCAAAAGCAGCAAGACCATGAAATGTAAATCATGACATGTAAATCAGGCGCACAGCCAGCTTTGCAAGCTAGTTCCGGCGCCGGAGTTTGGACGTGCTTGCATGATCTGCGATGGGCTGTGGCTTGACTCTACTTCGTCTAATCGAAGAGACGATGTAGGATCATCCAAGCAGGCCACGTTAAGCCCCTAAGATTGACCAGTTTCACTGTTTCCCTTTAACACGACTAGTGTGGGCTAGGCAGCTGTGCCACGTCGCAGCACACTTACCGCTTCGCCCTGGTCATGCAGGTATCCCTGGCAATGGTCCTGCACCTACTGCCTCCCGCCCTGGTGAATCCTTCGTTGGATTTTTCTTGGAATGGAACGCTGCCACCTTGCGAAAGCGAGGCAGGTGCTCGCCAATACGCAATCATCGCGGCTGCACCACTGCTGGCAACAACACTACCGGACCCCCCAACCCTCACTTCAACCTGGACAGCACCATCGCAGCCAACATCATCGCTCCCCCCAGCTATAAAAGAGCAACGCCCGTCGGCAGCACTTCGTGGGCTAGGCAGCTGTGCCACGTCGCAGCACACTTACCGCTTCGCCCTGGTCATGCAGGTTAGTGGGTACAATAGCCTATTTGCTAAAAAGACAAGTAACTACTACTTGGTGCAGCTGCCGAGCCCACAGTGCCTTTGTGAAATCATCCTTGAGTGCGCCCATACCACCTCCTCTCTACTGTTATTATTGTCCGGTGATGTCGAGACTAATCCTGGCCCAGAAATTCAAGAAATCCTCACCGAACTACAAAAAATTTCCGCTGGGCAAGCTACACTTCTCACTGAGGTGCAAGAACTTAAAAACCAGCTATCGACAACCAACCAAACCGTAACTGACCTAAGTAAACGCATGACTGAAGTAGAAAACCAATACCAGAACCTGTCACCTCTACATGCAGATCTTGAAGTGATTCGTACGGACGCAACTGAAACGAACCGTTTGGTCTCCAAACTGGAGGCTAAATTAGACGACGCAGAAAACCGCTCACGACGTAATAACTTATTATTCTACAACCTTCCCGATCCTAACCCAGCCGAAACAAATGCAGAAGCAGAAGGGCTTATTATAAGACACTGCCGTGAACACCTCCAAGTAGTCATCGACCCAAAAGAGATAGATCACGCACATCGCCTCGGACGCCATGCCACTAATCGCAACCGCCCTATTATAGCAAAGTTCACCTTCCATAAAACCAAAGAGGCCGTACTTACAAATGCACCCATGCTGAGAGAAACCGACTTCAGCATCGGCGAAGACTTCTGCCAGTCTGTCCGAACCGCTCGCCGACACTTAATTTCGCGAAAGCAAAATCAGCAAAGTTTCAGATACGTTATAAAACCCTTCATATGGGCTCAAAACGTTACATTTTCGACAATGCTTCACAAACTGTAAAAAAAATCGCATAGCAAACCCCTCGAACGAAGAAAGTAACGAACCGCCCCCGAAATCTAGCACAAAACAATCTTTCCTTATCTGCAATCTTTACTAACATACGCAGCTTTCTACCGAAACGAGAAAAAGTATCTAGCCTTGTGACGTCATCCAATGCCAATCTTGTTGTATTAACAGAAACGAGGCTTACCGATGACGTGACATACACTGAAGTTCTTGCAGATCTTCCTAACTTTCACTTATACCGAAAAGATCGCGAATGCACTCGCAGAGGAGGCGTACTGATCGCCGTCGGCCCGGAATTATCATGTTCCGTAATCAACATAGCATCTGACATAGAAATCTTATGGCTACATTGCCGGGCTTCACCCCACACAATACTGCTTAGTGTCTGCTACAGACCACCGAATGCAAATCCAGACTCCGCAAACAAATTTAACGATATACTAAATGCGCTCACCAAAGCCCACCCGAATGCCCATATTTTGCTGTTTGGTGACTTTAACCTTCCTAATATTAACTGGCAAACCGGAACAACCACACAAGGAAACCAGAAAGACATGAGAGAATTTCTAGATGCTTGTTTCAACTTTAACTTACCACAACTTGTTTCAGAGCCTAACACGTGTTGCCGCCAATTCCGCAAACATCTTTGATCTCATTCTAACCGCCCATCCTTCTAGCTTATTGTCGATTACCTATCTCGATGAAATTAGCGACCATAAAGTTATCCATGCAGATTTCGCATTTTCCCCAGAGCGCCGTGAAATGCTAAACAAAACAATATGTTTATATGATAAAGGTAACTATCAAGAAATTAACAACGAACTCAGTAGCTTCTTCCCAGATTTTGTAGCCAACTTCCGTAGCCGATCAGTCAATGAAAATTGGATAGTTCTTAAACAAAAACTTATTGAACTAAAAAATAAGTTTATTCCGAAGACCACATTTCGTGCCACGCAACAAAAGCCCTGGTATACTAAAACATTAAACCGACTTAGCAACAAGAAAAAACGCCTTTTCCGCCAGGCAAAATCTAAAGGAACGCCATGCGCATGGGATAAATACTACTCCGCCGAAAATGACTATCTTACAGCAATTCGCAACGCCAAGCACGCATTTTTTAACACGAACCTACCCAACATGCTAAGTGATAACGTAAAAAAATTTTGGCAGACCGTCAATCCAAAACAATCTCGCACTATCTCCCTTACTAACGAATCCGGTGAAGTGACCACAAATGCCGAGTGTGCTCATATTTTTAACATTGCATTCTCGTCGGTGTTCACCAGAGAACCTAGTATGCCTTCCATTCCCACAACCACCCTGATAGGTTCCAGCATGCCTGCGCTAGCATTTTCCGCAGACGACATTTCTTCCCTAATAAAAAACATTAAACTTTCCTCGTCATGTGGCATTGACGAAATTAATTCTAAACTGTTAAAGAACATTACCGATACAATTGTACCATACTTGCACCTCATATTCTCACAGTCACTCAGCACCGGCGACCTTCCGAATGACTGGAAAATTGGTAAGGTCGTTCCAGTCTACAAAGCAGGCGACAGCAACTCCCCACTCAATTATCGTCCCATTTCATTAACAAGCATCCCATGCAAAATCATGGAACATGTCATATATTCTCATGTTATCAACTTCCTCGATTCCAATAGTTTCTTTCACACCTGTCAGCATGGCTTCTGCAAGAGACTTTCCTGTGAAACACAATTAGCACTCTTTCTTCACGACGTACAAACAAACCTTGACACCAACTTTCAGACTGACGCCATTTTCCTTGACTACGCAAAAGCATTTGATACAGTTCCACACAACAAACTAATACAGAAGTTATCCGGGCTAAATCTTGACCCTAACGTGTTAAGATGGATTAAATCTTTTTTAGCTAATCGTTCACAATTCGTGCACGTAAATAATGAATCCTCTGAACCTCTCGAAGTAACGTCAGGAGTACCGCAAGGGTGCGTCCTTGGCCCCTTGCTATTTCTAATCTACATTAATGACCTACCACTAACTGTGTCTTGCAAAATCCACATGTTCGCCGACAATTGCGTGATCTACCATACAATAACTGATGCTTCCGATCAACTAACCCTACAACACGATCTGAACAACATTCAAGAATGGTGTGACAATTCGCTTCTCAAACTTAACCCCAACAAGTGTAAGGTTGTCTCATTCACTCGCCGCAAAAATCCTTTCCTATTCCCATACCAAATCACTAACGCCCCTCTAGAAATAGTACAGTGTTTCAAATATCTAGGTGTCACACTGTCCGCCGATCTAACTTGGAATGCGCATGTCACAAACATTATCTCATCTGCAAACAAAATATTGAAATTCGTGAAACGTCATCTGCGTTGCGCACCTCAACACGTAAAACTTCTCGCATACACATCCCTCATCAGGCCAAAACTGGAATACGCCTCTGCTATATGGAATCCACCTCAAATTTACCTAATCAATGACCTTGAATCAATTCAAAATCGCTCAGTCCGATTCATACATTCGTCATATTCTTATGACATCAGTGTTTCATCCTTAAAAGCCCAATCTGGATTGCAGCCACTTGCCCTTCGACGCCGCATAGCCACTCTTTCCCTGTTTCATAAGCTGTTTCATTCGCCCCTCAACCATCCTCCATACGTCATCCCTCCGACGTACACTTCGCACCGCACCAGCCACCCCCTCCAAGTCTCCCGTTACCGCACTAGGACTGCTACCTTCTCCGCATCCTTCTTTCCGCGTGCTGTGATGGACTGGAACGACCTCCCAAACCACGTCGTCACAATCACCTGCCCATCAACTTTCGCTAAAAATGTAACAACTCATCTTTGTCAGTGAAACTTTATGGCAATGTATATACCCACACCTATGTAGCAATATTTTATACTTTGAATGTAGCAAAAGTTTTATATCCTGTATACCAACCCCTTATGTGGCAAATGTTTTTCATATCCTGTACATCCAGCCCTTATGTAATACCCCCTTGTGGGGTCTTTAAGGAAATAAAATATGATGATGATGATGTAGTCTTCTCCTTCTTTCTTTCAAGATGGGTTTCGTGGACCCCCGAAAATCCCTTCGTGCAGTCCAGGTTCCATAGAGCCCCATTTTAGAGCCATTGCCTTAGGGGCAGTTGGCGACTGTAGCTTCCCACAAGTGATTCCTACTTTTCGACTTAGAACAAAGTTATTATATCATAGGTACATTGTTGCATTAGAAATGGAAGCTGCTAAGGAGCATTTTCCTTGTGATGAGATAGCTGCCAGCAGCCTTTGTTGTGTCTGCGCTCTCATTCAAGTGTTTGTAATTAGATGACAGCAAACAATTTGACACACTTTTGTGCTTGCCACTTGCAATAAAACGAGTCTAAAAAGAACGCTGGCTAAAGAACAAGGGTTTATTGGACACGGAATGAGATAGCTTTACGAGAAGTATCATGTATGGAGTGCCACTATATATTGATGGAAGGCAGCCATATTTTGTACAGCGTTAGTGGAGTAGCAGAAAGTATTTTTTCATACTCTCTGTGTAGTCCAATGAATAAAGTTGGTGATTTACAGTAGTCAACAAAATACCTTTCCTTTCTAAACAAGCCTTACAGCAATTGTTATTGTTCTTAAAAATATCTTTAAACACATCAGTTCATTAAAAAGAGCCAATAATGAATCATTATCCCCAAAAAATAGTATTTCTAGTCATTAAGCCTTTCATGCACAAACTTTGCCACAGAACCAAACATATCATCTGACACGAACAGGGGAACAAAAAAATCTTCACAGTTTTTCATGTCATAGATCCAGCATACTGTACGGTACTGTAGGGAGCATAAAAACTAATCATTTTATGATCATTTTATTTTATGGACACATAGCGTTGCCCACAAAGAGGACAAAAAGAGGATGTCTCCGGCTCGCCATTCATGTGCAGCTACAGTGAAACAGTGAAAGAGAAGACCAAAACATACAAAAACTCACATGGACCCTCATGAGTGTGCCTAAGACAATTCAAAGCGAAATCCATCATGATTGGAGCATGAGTACACTTTCATGGCCAGCGTTTTTATTAATGCTGCAGGCTGATCATGATGATGAATTACAGCTCAGCTCTTAGAAATGAGATGCTACCTTTCAGCCACCCATTCATAACGCAGTTAACATGGTGCAATGCCCGTTACAATTTTACACTTGTGCAAAACAATACAGTTAAACCCTTTTACAACAGGCATGCTCCGGGCAGAGATTCTTGACTCTTATATGAGGTGTCTTTTATAAGCAGGGTACAACGTATACATTGTCTTATCAACCCGTATTTTACTGTTGGCACACTGGTGTCTTTTATACCCATTTGTCTCTTACATCAGTGTCTCTTATAAAAAAGTTCGACTGTAATTCATCTGCTAATGCGACTTCGTGCCCGACACTACGCCTGTATTAGATCTTTCTCTAATTATAAAGTGGTTTCAAGCGTTCTCGTGGCTGTGCTGTAGAACACTTGACTGCCATGCGTAAAACCCGAGTTTGATTCCGGTTCAAATCTTCATTTTTATAATGAAATTTTTATTGAGGTCATGTGAGTTTTTGTACCCCATGCTACACTTTTCAAGGCAAGTGTCTGATGAGGAGGTTAAGGCTTTCATATTTTACATGCCTCCAGTGACAGGATACACAGATGCTGCTCTGATGCTTTATTACAGCCTGAAGAAATGGGACAGCGAATAAAGATGGCTGGATCACATATGGCAAGCCCTCTCAAACAACAACCATTCGAACTAACGGAACTTAAACATGGAGGTTACCAAGAAAACTATGGAACAACCTAAGAGACTGAACGACAGCAGAATCGCCAGCAAAAAGACAGAGGTAACAGGTATTTTCTAGCTGCGGCCAAGCGAAAACAATCCACATGAATTAGCCAAGTAATGCATAAGAACTACAAGCGGTTGTTGGCCTGAACAATGAAACTGATACTGAGGAATGGGCAAGAGCGAAGAATGGCAGCGAGTTAGATAAAGGAGAAAACACGTATTGAAGTTTGCAGCGGTAAAATAGAATCAGGTCATGCAAGATAGGGCATACGTGGGATTATTGGGTGCGGCCTTCCTTCGGCAGTAAACACAAAATAAGCCAATAATGATGACAAGGACAAACCTTCTTTAAGAAATCACCCACAGTTTCAGAAGAAGGTGTATTGGCTTTTGAAACTCACGGCCAGTGCTCTCAAAGAGGACCTTATCGTTGAGACCCAGTCGAAGCTCCGGCATGCCCGAGAGGTAGACGCGCATCTTGATACAGCCCACAATCTCGCTGCGCAGCACACTGCCGCCGGCGTTGGCGAGCAGGTTGACCGACTCAATGACGTCGAGGAAAACCTCGTTCTTGCGGTAGCGGACGCCCTCGGACCGCCAGGAAACGGCGTTGGTGACGGCCATTGGGAGCCGCGGCTGCAGCTCCATCTTGTGGCTCTCCTGGGTGATGAACTCCTGCAGGATTTTGCCGTCCGTGGTCTGCGGGTAGCCGAAGTCCATCAGCTCGTCCAGCAGCTCGTAGATGATGACAAAGTTGTCCCGGATGCTCTCTTCCTCCAGCTCCTTGAAGTACTCGCTGAACACCTGCATCATGTATGTCAAAAGTACAAGTTAGACACTGGTGTAGCCAGAAAAAGTTGGGGGGGTCAACCCATCTCTCTAAATTTTTCAGTTTTGGCGATTTATGATGATGATAGTTTTCTGTTCACTCTGCACGGATTGATGGCAAGTTTAAACAGCTCTGGCGTTTAAGAAATTTCAGTCTTACAGCGTGCAGAAGTTGACATGTTGTAACTGCACTCTTTGCATAAGTAGTAAAGGAATAAGTGAATTAATAAGGAATTTTCACTTACAGTAACTATCTTATGAAGGAATGCGAATATGAGAGCAACGTTGGCGTTCTTCTTTGAAGTCGCTACCACTGAAAAGGCAGCAAGTCAAGGGTTACACACATAGTTTTTTAGATGTAGGGCACCTTCAAACAAGAATTCAGGGATTTCATGGGATCTCACAAGCATCTAGACATGTTTTATGGAAAGTAAATGGGCCATACGTGCCACAAGTACACATACCATTCAACATTTCACGATGCCTGATACATTACCTGCCTGAGACGAATTCACTAGACATTTGCAAGCCTGCAGCTTTCACAGGACCAAGAACTTCGCTGTCTTAACAAAATATGCTACACAGTATCCTATTGCGCATGTTAGATAACTGGCGGCAGTCACGCTTCCTGCTGGCACTTGTTACTCCGTATCATAAAGCTTAGAGATACCGAACCAAAACATTTATATTTCTCAAGGTGACTACAATGGCTAGATAGAAGCAGAATCGGTTTTCTTGGTTGGAAGTTTATGCAAAACCAAAGCATCCAAAAACCGTTGTGCAACATATCAAAAGAGAAACAATATAGTAGTACTCCTGCCTACAAACCCCTTGTGCAAAGCAATATCGAAGAACTAAAAGAACACCACTATCATCAAATATTTTCTCTTAGGCTCATTACAGGGCCAAGGCCCCTCCAGAAAATACCATCTGGGTTGCTTCGTCCTGTCGTCAATTTATCCAATGCTAGATACCCGGAAAACTCCTAAATCATGACACTCTTCACTCTGACCACAAATCTCCATTGTGCAATGACTCACACCATAAAATTAACTGACACCAGCTAATTAGTGGTAACGAGTTGAAATTATGCAACAAAAATTAGCAGAGGCTTAGCTCAGCCATGCCAGGATTTACATTACGTGAGCTACGGACAGTCGAATGACGAATGGCAAGTGAGCTCGTGCGAGTCATGCGCTAGCCCTCTAGCAACACACGTTTCTCCAGGAGCTTCCAGGCCTTCTCCAGGCGTGCCAGTTGCACGCCGTGAGATGTCACTGCTCCTCGTGGATGCGCAGCTGGGCTCTCGATAAGCCATGCAAAACTGCTCCATTTTGCCCAGTGTAGCTTATGCTACAAAAAAAGGGACTTGCTCACTATGCCTGACTAATCCTACCATAAGGGCTCTCACTGACTGTTATCTGCTTCACTCAGTCAGTGTTGCAGGAGTGATCAGAGGAAAATGATGGAAGAGCCATTTAGAGGCATTTCTTGCACTGTATGCAGCTAAGAACATGGCAAAACCACTGAATGCTTTCAAAAGCACTTCCCTATCCCTCGCTAGACCAGCCATTTTCCACATCTTCCAGTGAAAATAAAGATAACTACTGTTATTATGATTTTTTTACTGAAATAATTATGAAAGATTTTATTTGTTCCATGCTTTGCTTACTTGTCCAAGTCTGTTCTTTAACAGTAACGCAATGCTAGACAACACTTGCATTCACACTAACTATGGTAAGAAAACATCTATATTCTCTACCATTCATGTTTGGAGTAGTTTGCCGGTTGAACACAAATTTTTGCTCTCATTTTCACTTTTCAGAACATCAATAAAATCTTTCCTTTTAACTTCCGATTGCTCACCTTAATTATGGTATAAGATTTTTTTTCCCACTTGTCCTCGTTTATTTTGCGTTTATATCAGTTTTCTATGTGAAAACTGACATTTTTTTTCTTTTTTTCAATTATTTTGTGCACATTTCCTACTTTATTTCATATTATTTCTGAGTCTTATTTGACTTTGCATTGCATTGCTTTTTACATTATATATTGCAATGCGTTTTTCATTTCATTGTATTATTTAATTTTTATTGGAACTATTCTAGCATGTTGCTGCTTGTTTTGTTTTGTATGAGATTGTTATTGCCACCTGCTAATCTTCTGCCAATTGTTTTCACTTTTGTCGTAGTTTTATCTAAGGGTCCCGTTTTCAGTAATTATACTCTCGGGTTCTCATCTGTATACAAGTGTTACGTACATGATGCCTATGTACCTAATAAAACTGAAACTGAAGCAAGTCGACAGAAAATAACTCTTGTCTAACTTAATATTAAATAGCACTGCCTGATTACTTGCGAGTATATAGGCAGTGCTATTAAAGATTAAAGCAATTATTTAATTGACAACATTTCGCACTAGTGCACCAGAGAAGCTGTCAGGGCGGTAAGGCACCCTATTTTGTTGCTATAACATGAACAGCTTGGGAGTCAGCACACAGACGAAAACGGCGCACACAAGCGCTACTTGCATTCGGCTTGCCCCTCCTGCTGTTCGCACTCAAGATGAATTACTTACCAGCTGCATGAACAGCCACAGTTGCTGGAACATGAATACATGTTCAAATATTCGAGAATTTAAACAATTATTAATAAATATTTGTCTTGCTCCGGATAATATGTTATAAAATTTGTTAAAAGATGCACCGTAAAAATCACTTGATTGTGTTGCAATATTTAAAATAATATTGCTACTACTATAACTAATTACTTCTCTCGTGAATTATTGATTTTCCTGCACTTATACTTCTATATACTGTGATTGCATTAATACATCATGTTATTGCTGTCATTACTTATATTATTGTAGCTGGTGATTACATGCTTGCTATAACAATGATTATGTTCCTGTTTATTATTATGTTACCAAGATGATTTGTTGTTTCTAGATCCGTTGCTTCTGCTGCCCCAGTGTAGTGAGGACTTGTCAGGAGGCTTAAGTCCTCGTTCTGCCTTACCTCACGGGCAAACCCTGTAATTGTGTATGCCCAAAATAAAAAAATATATATTTGCAGTGCAAAACTGAGAGATGCTGCAGGTGGGATGTACAGATCAAACAGATCGGACCAATGTACCTTACGAGAATTTCATGCAAAAGCCCACATTTGATACAGGAAATCGAAAAACAGCCCCCCGCGATTTAGCAATGAAATTTGGCGCTCGTCCTCTGCTGCATCTGTTCTATGTCCCATACCAAACTAACACTCATCAGTTTAGTAAGACGGGATTAATCTCGTTCTGTCTATTTTGTTTGTTTATTTGCATGCCTGCCTCCAACTTGAATTCACGAACAATATAAACCTCAGGGGTGGTGTGCGTCAATAAAGGATACGGTAGAGGTTGTTGTGCTTGATGTACATGAAGGCAATGTCCGAGTGCCGAAGGATGGGCGTCACACATCCTTCCTCCTCCTTCTCCATGAGCAGGGTCATGAACTTATCGATGCACGTCATATCTATGTCTCCACGGTAGTTGCGCGATATCAGCACCTGCACAGGCAACAGCCCGACGAAAGTGGTCGTTGTTAGCCAAGACAATCAGAAGTTCACACCCGCTGTGGTCATTGGATTCACAACAACAAGCACAATATAAATTTGTAGGATTCACTGCAATAAAGTAACAAAGGTGAAATTATATGAAAGGTTGCAGATGCAAACAAGATTGCATAACTACCATGAACAGTGTAAATTATTATTATTTACAGCAAACAGTTGGCATGCTGAATTAGTTGTTTAACATTGATGGTAAATAGATAACGAAGTGCCTAAAAACTATGTTATATACAGCGCTTTAAAGTTGCTGTTCAGCATCATTTTGGGTCCTGAAATGTGTTATGAGTCGGCCAACATCTTAAGTGCAATCGTGCATCAAATAGTGGTGAAATAATTGTGTGTGTGTGTGAGAGCAGGAGGACAGATTTATTCCACTTTGATGAAAAAAAGTAGCCCAACTTGTTCTATTACAAGGAGTCGGTCTCGAATATGTTGAACTGAACTTGTTTAAATGAAGCTGATCCCTAAAGGTGTAAAACATTCCATTACACATGTGCCGTCTATCTCAAAGCAGCAGCATGCAACAGACAAGCATTGAGAAAATTGCTATTCTGTGCATATATGCTAGCATTTCTGGCCTAATAGGAAAAGCAGCCAACTGCTGTTCTGGAAAACCGTAGTCTGACGCCAAATATAGAGAATGTAATGATGGTTGAACATGCCCAGGGTTGGGAAGAGAATAACCTGCCCAGAAAAGTGCAAGACAACAGGCAAAGAATGTGTTTTCTTATGGAGTACAGTGCAAAAAAAAAAAGAGGAATAGAAAAAGAAAGAAGTTGCCATTATTTGCTTTCTTCTGAGTCGTTCTCTTTTGTGTTGTTCCTTATTTGTGACATGACATTCGAACCTACCAGCTCAAGCTTGTGTTTTTGTTACAAAGCATCTGCCCTGTACGCCAAACGCCTTCAAATGTAGCATACGAAACAATAAACTAGATGAGTTGCCTTAAATGTAAAAAAAAAAATGGTGTATCACATCACGGTATAATGCAGGCATCTGCATATGAAACAGATTTAAATGTTGAATATAACAAACATTGTAAGTCTGTATTCAAGTATGAATACTTCATTTTAAGGGTGCAGTTACAGCTGCTGAATGCAAACAGTATTTTCTAGTAAACAAATGGAAGCTTGTGTTAGAAAAAAGGTTCACCTATTTCACCCCCACCCCCCCCCGTGTTTCTTTGAATGAAAACAAAAGAGTGAATGAAGGGTTCTAAATCAACTTCTACAAACAGTGTTGATAATGTACATACTCAACACTATTAGCAGACCAATTTAAGCACTCTAGCTGAGGCATTAAGTTTTTTACACTGACTAAAGCATGTGCATCATTATATACAGCTGTTCACTGCAAATCGGAGTTTTCACCTGCCCTGTTTTGGTATGTGGCATTGTTTTGAAATGTTGCTCAAGAGACAGATATGATTGGCTGCTGGGCATTTGCAATGAAAGGAATAACCTCAACAGCCACTTTGCAACTGCACTTGGCGGAGGAAGAACAAACAAGTCAAACATGGATGGCAGACTTCAACATCTACACTGTGCTGGCAGAGAATCGTGAAAGTTGTAGCTCACTGCCAACCACTCCGCAAGTTCGAGAAGAAAAAGACGCTGCTTGAAATGAATCTAGCCTCTAAATGCTTGTACCTCCCTAAATACCAAATGCTGATACTACTGCAGTGTAAAACAATTTCATCCACTTGTAGGCGATATTTTCATTATTTTGGAAAACCATTCAAGGGACCCTTTAACATCCTAAATTATCGTGTGAGCTATAATTCAATCTGATGAAGAGGAATAGAAATAATGTTGACTACCTCCACCTCCTTGGAATGCACAAAAATGCTCAGTACACAAGCATTTTAACATTTATCTGTACCAGCGTGGGGGGGCTATATTCGTAGGTTATCAACAACTACAACTTCACTTTCAGCAACAGGAGTTCAGTATTCGTGAAGTATGGATAATCAATTCCAAATACTTTGTGCATCAGAACCACAACATGATTATGAGGCATAACACAGGCCAGAGATCCATCGATTATTTTTCCACCAGGGGCTCTTTAATGTGCTGATAAAGTATATGAGCAAGCTTACATTTCATACACTTCAAAGTGTGGTTTCTGCGGCCCAGGGTCAAACCTGTGTCACCCTGCTCAACAATACAACTTGCTTCTTAGTTCCCCACGGCAGATGTGAAGACAGATGCAGATTTCTGTGAACACTGATCCCAACTATTTTTCAGGTATGTTATGCTGTCCGGTAAGTTTGCTGACAGTATGTGAATGAGCTGCAAATTGTTCTCTAACTTACGGTTCGTCAGTGTTATTCCAAAAACTTGACATTCTGATCAACTATGCCACACGGAAGGTGCGTGCCTCCGACACATATGCGAAAATGGGCAAGAAATGCCTAAGATAATATTAAGGTTTCATTTTGACGAGGCTATCACAGATAGGAGAAACTAATTCATAAGCCAATCTACTTCACTGCCGAAAGGTAAAATACTTCATGCGATCATCAAAATGTTTCTTAACCGAGAAATCGTTTCATCCGGTAGTGTTATTCTTAACAAGCTTACACACTCTAGCTGTCCGGTACGAATCAGTCACTTTGTTTCTTTCGTTTTCCGGTTTATGCGGTTCCGAGCTGCAGTCTTGCAACGAACGGGCGCCAGCTGACCCTGTACCAGCCCGCCTAAACTCGGTTTCGATCTCGCGTGTAGCTCCTTCGAGCATACGTCAGCGAGACCACGCCCACTGCAAACACCGAAAGTTCGACTGCCGCGGCCGTGTCAATCACATATCGTACAGCTACACCGCGGCAGTAACTAGAGCAGCCGGCTCGCGATGTCGATGATCAAGGCTGAAGCAGCGCGTGTGCCGCGCTTCCTGCGCTGCCGTGGCGATCGCGAGAGTCTAATACGAAAGCTCGGCACCGAAGAAGAAACGCCGTTGACAATATGCAAGCTGTTACCTACCTTGCCTTTCAGGTCCAGTATGTAAATGGCTGAAGCAGACATGGTGCCGGATTATCTGAAAAGACATAACCAGGAAATACATGCGATGTAGCACTAAAAGCCGAGAGGCAGCACGCAACTCCGCGTAACGCGAAAGCGAACAGCCTGCTGAAGCGACTGCAATCCGCTAGAAGTTCAAGCCGAATCGCGAAAGCGCTGTTATGACACCTTCGCATGCAATCAGAGTGCCGCGATGAGCGAGAGTGACAGCAAATCGCGGCGTCGGTGTGCGGATACGGGCAGCATCATAAAAACGACCACAGGAATCGATACATACCGCTGGCGGTGACCGTGAAGAAGCAATCGAGTGGTCCCCTAGGTCGCAGGGCCTTCACGGGAAAGCCGCCGAGAATGCGTCGCGTTTCTCAAACCGCATTCATGGCAGAAAACACGACGTAGAGCCGACGGCACGCTCAGAACTGGGCATCTAATGAAAATCCCACGGATTCCGACAGCCGCTGCCAAAGGAGTCCGGCAAATAGCGCTGGAAGCCACTTGACTTGAGCGGCTTGGCTTGGCTTCGAACTTCACGTGTTTCGTTTTCATTCTTATAAACTTTTTTAAATCGTTTAGAAAAAAAATTACCTAACACTTATACATCAAAATGAGTACTTTAAATGAGCTTAATTTAGTTAAAGAGCATTAAAATGAATAACGTTAAAAATACAATCTTTCATTTTTTGTATTTGTTCATAGGTGACATAAAAAAACAATAAAAATTATGACAAACTCAGCATTTTTTGTGTTTTATTATCAAAACACAAGCAAATGTTAAGGTTTCATAATTTTTTTTACAATTGTTTACCATGAAGGATTGGGGCGCCACATTTACACCACAGCGCTTGCGATCACACGCAATGCTGAGAGTGACTGTACTAACTGGAGTTTCGACACTACGTCCTTCTCGTGTGTGTCGCGCGAACAGTAAAAAACGGCAGGGATGTGAAACAGCTGATGCACCGTTGAGGTGGATGCCTTGTCGGAAGCGAAAAAAAAAAGGGACATTACTTTTGCTCTTCTCGTGAAAGAAGGTGCGCCCGACACGGCACAGTGGCGAGTCGTCGCAATCTCGCGCCAGCGTTCGGCCCACGCCTCCTCAGCGCGAGGTTTTTTGCGCGCAAATAAACAGAAAAAGAACGCAACAATAAAAGCCAAATGCTCGCCCGAGGTCTTGGAGGGGATAGCGGCGCTAGCCAGCCCACGAGGGTGTGGGTCGTAGTCGAGGCGACTTGCTGCGGCATGCCGCTAGCGCGCGCAGCTCGCCGTTTCATTTTTTTTTTTCTTTTCCGCTCCCTGCGAACGTTCGGGCCGAGTTTATTTAAATGACCGCATAGCAGCGGCCGAAGGCGAGGCCCGCAGCTAGCAAGCGGGCGCTTGCGGCGACAAGAGTCGACGCAAGAAAAGCTATCAACACGCGCCTCCGTCATCAGCCGGGCGAAGTATTTTATCCGTCCACGACGGGGAGTCCCCGAGAGGCGGCCACGACAAGCGCTGCAGCTTCACCGAGCATGACCAAGTTTGGAGGATCCACCCGGCGTTGTCGCTCGTAAATTGTGGTCAGTGCATGCGATTTTTTTGCCCGCACTAATCTCTCTACGCTTGCGGTCACGCTGCAATCTGAGCTTGCGGATCGTCTATCCGCACGGCGAGTACTTTTCGTGCGGCTACATGTGTGATACAGAAGGCAAACGTCGCGCCGTGCCCCTCTTGATCGCGCTCTGACTGCCCTTCGCGGCGTGAACGTGTGCGATCCATCTCACGCGATGTCGACGCTTCGGCGGCGAGATTAGGCTGGATTGATGGTCGCACTCGCGCATCGTGGGGGCGGCAAAAGAAAATGAAAGCCGGCTGCTCCACATGGGCGAGTCGGGCGGTGAAGCGATCCTCTACTGCGCCTCCGCGCGCACTGTGTGTTGGTGTACGGTTAACCGGCCGATCGAGTGCCTCTTTCGCTCTCGCTTGCCATCTCTCACCCACGATATATATTTTTTTTCTATCGTAGCATCACGCTCGGTCGGTTTCGGGCGTACTGAGCGTTCGCCTAGCTAGCGTCAGCGCAGTAAAGTGCGGATATATCCCAGTCCGAGCGCGCGCTCTAGTATAATAACGTGCACTAGCGTGTATCAACTCGAGCCGGTAAACGAGTACCACCGAGGCTGACTATTGTGGTGTCTGCTGAGATTATATGGCAGCGTCGGTGCACTATGTCCCCGCAATACTACGAACTGCGCAATTGTACGATGCGCGCGTGTATATTGGGGTCATACCGTAACCTCGTGCGCGATTTCTTCGATAGTTTTCGCTTCAATGTGGGGTGGATATCAAAGAACACATATCTTAGTAGCACGTATATTATTGCTGTAATGTTGGAGCGACGTTTAGAATGTTTAATTCGGAGTAACACGTTTATTGGACAACCTCAGGTAATGTTGACGGAACGTACGCTGAACTATACATTAATGTTACTAGAATGTGATGGTGAAATTTTGAACCAACATTTCATAATTATAGTAAGGTTTCATGACCATAGTACGCTGTTGTCGGTGATGCTTTAGGTTTCGCACTTTTTCATCAATAAAAATTACGACGTTGTCATGAGCTTTGTTAATCAGGTCGCAATTCAAAAAAAGTTGCTGCAGCACAAACATGCTAACTAAAAGTCAGAAGAGATGATCATCTCACAGAATTAGCTAGATTATGCGTAGCTTAATTATGTGTACCGCATACTTAATACATTTACATTACTGCAATGAATCAGAGATATCTCCACGACAGTTCAATGGACTATTATGCGAAATAGAGCGACTCGTGTGAAACACCACTTTTTTTATTTTATCTACGTGGTCGTTAGGCAAAGCCATACTTTGGGAAACCGTGAACAAAATATGTAACAGATCTTAAGAATCCGCTCTATTGACCAGCAGCTGTGACCATAAAGCTGCATTGAAGATTCAGTTAGAAAAGCGGCCGCGGTTGGGTTTGCAATAGAAAACTCAAATTGCCGTATGTGCTGCAATATTAGCCGCAGGTTCCACACCACCAAGATTTTGGTTGAGATATCGTGGGAGCGTCCATTACACGGAGAAAGAGACACAGCAGTCTTTTTTAAAATGTTTTGGCAGTTATTGGCCCTGCTAAGGTGCGATACTGGCCTTTACTGAAAGAAGCGAGATAGAAAGAAAGCAGCTCACTTTTTTTTTCTTGCTTCGAAGCGTACGTTGACACACTTGATGCGACGGGCTAAAAGAAAGGTTGATTGATTGATATGGGGCGTTTAACGTCCCAAAACTACCATATGATTATGAGAGACGCCTTAGTGGAGGGCTCCAGAAATTTCGACCACCTGGGGTTCTTCAACGTGCACCCAAATCTGAGCACACGGGCCTACAATATTTATGCATCTGAAAGAAATGTTAGTTCTCTCGCATCAAGAAGCTCCGGACACTAAAGAAAAGAATGATGATTTCTCTCGTATTCGCGAATTACTCTTTCGCGATACCGAAAACACCTCGCTATGCTAGGAGAAGACCCTTTGTTTGTTTTTTTATTTTATTTACAAATACCTCACACGCTCCAAGTAGGAGTATTATGTGAGGGGGACTACACAATACTTTTTTTGATCAAGAAACACGGGAAAAAAAAACAAATAAACACGAAAGCCAAGTATGCAAATGCTAAGCGTGAGCAATAACATGCACAAATAACATGAAATTTGTGTTATGCATAATTAAATTTCTTCTACAATGAATGAACACCAATACAAAACGTATGTTTAGGAAAGACAGTCGTAAATAGTATTTTATTCCTAAATTCCACGTGATCGCGAATGCACACAACATCATCAGGAAGATCATTCCAATTAGCAATGGCACGCGCTATCGCAGATGCGTTAAAGGCTTGGGTGTAGCCGAAAAGACGAGAACAACTGTGTTGACTATGAGATGTGCGATGGGGTTTCGATAGTGGCAAGGTATTCACGTGCGTGCTGTAGATGACTTTATGAAATAAACACAGAATGGGCTATCTTCCTGGGCAATGCCAGGGATGATAAGGACAGCGAAGTCTTCATGTTTGTTACACTGGAATAGCGATTGTGGTTGCGCGCTATAAAACGTGCAGCGCGGTTTTGCACAGATTCTAGTAAGTCAATGAGTAAGGCTTGATGAGGTGACCAGATGGATGATGCATACTCTAGTTGTGGGCAAACAAATGTTTGATACGCTAGTTTACGTGTAATGGATGGCGCCATATGAAGGTTGCGTTTCGGGTATCCTATAGTGTGTGTGAGGCTGTGGCTGTGATGTGTGTTGAACAGGATAGATTTAGAGTGGAGTTAATGCCAAGGTACTTGTAATGGTCCGTTGCCATTATAGGTTTATTGTTAAAAGATTGCGTGTAGATCGAGTTTGACTGCTTTCGACTGAACATCATTACTTTGCATTTATCAGTGTTAACTGTCACCTGCAACTCTGAGCACCAAATTGTAATCAAGTCGAGATCCTGTTGCAGTGCTAGATTGATCTGCTGGGAGTTATAATTTTGCGGTATATGATGCAATCATCGGCGATCAGTCGGATGTCTGAAGTAATATGAGATCGGAGGTCATTGATGTATATGAGGAATAATAATGGACCCAGGACGCTGCTCTGAGGATATACAGAAGTATACCGTCAGCTAGTGGAGATGAAGTGTTACTGACCCATGCAAACTGTTTGCGTGACGACATAAAGTTTCGGAACCAAGATATAATCAGAGTATCAAGATTTAGGGAAGACAGTTTAGTAATTAAACGACAATGCTTTGGAAAAATTGACATAAATGCAGTCTGTCTGTGTGTTACCATCCATATTAGAATGAAGATCTTCAGTGAATTCTAGTAGCTGGATTTCACAAGACAGCCCTTTCCTAAAGCCATGCTGTTGGGGAAATAAGTAATGGTTATCTTCTAAATGATGGACAATATTAGATTCAATTCTATGTTCAAGCCTTTACAAGGAATGCTCGTGAGAGATATGGGGCGATAGTTTTTTGCATCACTTTTATTTCCTGATTTGAAGATGGGAGCACCTTACCAATTTTTCGATCATGCGGAAGTGCACCAGTGGACAATAATCGATCGTAGATATGATAACAATTAAACTGCAAGGAATAATGGTCATTTTTAGAACTTTAGTGTGGGTACTATCAATACCATAGCTTGTGGATATCTTAAGTTTTTTTATTACGGATGCGATACCTTCAACTATTAATTCAATGTGGTTCATGTACCTATAAGCGACGTCGGCAATAACAGAAATCACTGAGCAGTCTTCTTTTGTGAATATTGGTGTAAAATAATCGTTAAAGACCTCAGCGCATTTTTTTTTCCTTTATCGAATTACCGTTTCCGTCTTGGAGTGATATGTTATTCAGACGGGAAGGCGGGGAAATCGCTTGCCAGAATGTGTTTGGATTGTTTTCCATCAGGGGCTTTAAGTCATTTGAAAAAAAAA